TATAAATAATTTTTGAAGTGTGAAATTTACAATATAAATAATTAAAATTCAGTGATATTATGTTATAAACTATAAAATGATATTATAGTTAAGTAATTTTTTTCAACCTTTACATATAATATAGATAATTATAGGTGGCATTGGGTAGGTTGAGTCAATTTAAGATGGAATTATTTTGGATTACAAGTTTTATGGGATCATATACCATTTCGGATACAAGTTGCCCAATTATCAAAATATTACAGATTTTGGATTATTTTGAGTTGGACCAAATGGGGTTCGAGTTACCTCACATGTCGATTTTTTTAATATATATAATATTTATAAAAATACAGTTAAAAAATTTAAAATTATATTTGAATATTTGATTCATTTATTTATATATGATCTCTTTATTTAAAAAGTAAAGTTTGAATTTATTTTTTTCTAATTAAAAAAAATTAAAATTATCATATATATATATAACATCAATTTTTTTAACTTACATATAATAATAAAATAGATTTTATGTTATAAGAGTTAATCACAAAATTAAATTGTTTACCCAAATATAAAATAAAACCAAAACAAAATTTTAAATTTGTTATATGATTAAAACAAAATATAAAAACTGTACATGTATATTTTTTTACATAAAGTTGAATCACTACAGTAAAATTTAATTGCCTCTCTTTCACTTATTTTTATACATTTACTTTCTTTTAAAAAAATACTTTGGATCCGTATATATCTTAAAATGTTTAAATATTTTATATCTCATCGCATTTACATTTAATTAATTTTACTCTTTACAGTTGGTTTGTGGACCATTTAAATAGATTTGATTAACCTAGTTTTTTAATGCTTTTGGGTTAAAGTTACAAAATGCTGAGTTATTTCAGATTTTAAATTACTTTGAATCAGATTAAATTGAATATTAAATCACTTTTAATAATAAATTATAATCTCCTTTCACATTAAATTAATTTACCATATTATAGGTTATAGGTGAGATCAATTTTAGATAAAATAAGTCGAGTTTCTCGAGTTGAGTTAAATTTTAATATTTTTTTAGTGAGATGTTAGTGCATTAGGACATAAAATTAAGTAGTAAGGATGGGATAGAATATGGGATTATAAAAACAAAAAAAAAACTGAGAGAAAGCTATACATACAATTTTGCTTAACAAAACCAATTGTTTACAAGAAAATATTCAAATACAATTTCTCTTGGTCTAGGCATGCAATGCAATCTCTTCTAAACCAAAATTCATACATTGACCAAGGCCAATTCCATTCATAATAACACTCACTGAACCACTTTGTGCTGCAAATTGATTGATTTGAATAATATAAATAAATGAAAAAACATTAACAACAATACAATTTTCAGTCATTTACTACCACTCTTGTTCCTTAATAATCACAAACAAAGCTTAACACAGCAAACATAACTTAACCGAGTCAAACACACGTGGTATTTTGCAATGACACCAACCTTATTTCGAAATTCTATGGTATTCATTGGAAACACGTAGTAACCATGAAAACTTTATGTGCCGATTTTCCTTGGGAATGCAAATTTTGTCAATATGTGATTGTTTGAATTTCATGTGATTTTTTTTTTCTGCTTTTACCCTTTTGATACCAAAAAGGTAAAAGAAGTTTGCTAAACTCCAAATGATGAAACAGACTTTTTGGTTTGTTTCAAAACGTGTTTGCGTTGATGGGTTTAATCACATTTTTTCTTCGATGTGGGGCTACAAAGGCAAGGAAGGAAGCTATGCATTGATGAAGAGAGAGGGCAACACACACGGAGCACAGCACAGCACAGCTCACGATTTTGATAGAAATTAACCTGAGTAGGAATTAGACAATGTACTTAAAACAGGATCGGTTTGACTTGGATTAGGCCCCTTTTTTTTAATAATTAAAGGGTGGAAAATTTGAGTTCTGGGTTGCAATCAATCATGGGAAATGAGGTGTTAATGGGTTGTAAAAGTACTAACAACAAATTTCAATTAGTTCAATCTATTATTGATCAATATATTTAAACAATAATGAGGATATATATATCCCACTTTAATTAGGAAGTAACCATTTTCCATGTTTTGATACTATACATATTTCTAGATGATCAAAGCCCTTTAATTTGTTCACGAATTTATTAGTTTCTTATTTGTTTTAGATGATGCCAACTAACCAAATTCATTTTCCATCTACAGATTAATTAAATCCATCATAAAAAAAATAATGAATGAAAGTGTGATCTTTCAACCGAAACCATTGATTCTAGCAAGCAAGACATGCCATGTTTCTTTCCATGGTATGGTGTTATTATTTTGGTGAAAAGATTGTTTCTACCCTCGAATGGTAGTTAAAAGTTCAAAAGCTTAACAATTTTGCCTGTAGCATTGCCCAAATGCAAAGGCAGACGAAGGGAAAGGAAAATGGTACTGATGAAACTAGTGGGTAGTTGAAATTAAGAGAGTAGATGCATCGATGGAGTATTTTACCCGCAATTAAGATGACTTGCAAATAATGCATTGACTGTGAATAGAATGAATGGGGGTTGGTCTACCCCTAGATTTGCAATTAATAATACAAGTAACACGATTCCTTCATCAACTCAATCTTCATGCCCTTTATGCGGACATCGTGCTTCTCAATTCATTAACAATGGAGATTCATCACCAATTTTGTCCCAATTTTTCTTTTCAAAGCTTATATATTGACTATTATTTTTTATTATTTAAGTTTCATCATTCATGTATTACCCACGGCTGCATAGCTTACATCAACAGCATCAATAATCTTATCACGAAAACACTTATTTGATATTAGCAAACCTCATGATCCCAATGTAAAATTTCTACTTGAAAGTAACTATTAAGTTTTATCTTAAGGAACAATGGATTACACTACTTTGAAATATAAGACTTGATTCACTTTGTATCGCTGTAAAAATTAAGTAAATTTAATCCAACCGTTGGATTTTATATTCTTTTGAAATTTAAGTTAAAATTAAAAATGACTAATTATTTATTTGATAAAATTAAAATTTTAATCATTAAATATATACTGAAAAAGAAAATAGGAGACTAACTTGAAATTTTATGTGCATACGTATGTCTAAAATATTATATAGAAAATTATTGAATAAATCAAGCAAACAAATGAACCTCTTTTTTGCCATTGAGAAAATTTCGAGTTGGCAAGAGCATTAGCTTGAGAGTTGGCGTTTCGATGAGGTTTTCCCCGCCAGACAAGGTCCAGGATTATAGTTCAGGGTTGTCTTAACTCCGCCGTTGCGTCAACTAACTTAACCAACTCATTTGCCCAGCCCAGGGTTCCCTCCTCTAGATTTTCCCCGCTCCCTAGTCTAATTAATAATTTCAGGCCCCCCATAGCATACTCTTACTTTATTTCTAAGGGCCGCGAGTTTTCAAAAGCGTGAACGTCACATCCTCCTACAACCACCACGAAAAAGGCTTACCATATACGTTGCAAAACACGCGCCGCCTCTAGTCGTGGGTCAAAATCTCCAATGGTACATGAAGACTTCGTTTGTGGCTCTCCAGTAACTGCCGCCGCAAATGTAGAGATTGTCAGACTCTCCCCATAGCCTCCGCACGTGACTTGTTCAGCTGTGAACTCAACCATGCTCATCTCAAATTAACCTGGGTCAAGTCTCAGAAAAAGAACAAAAAATTGAAGCCCGTCAACATTCTGCCACGTTGGCAGTGTCCATTTGCAGCCTTTTTCACGGCACTCCGTTTTGACTTTTTGTTTTAAACAATGACATCAAGTGGACGGTCTTATCCGTTAGATATAAAATGATGACGTCAAGGTTTTAATTCTTAATCCGACGACTGTCATTTCCTTTGGCATCATATTCTTGTATACTTTAAGCGTTATTTACTAATTTTTGCACCTTTCAATGGGACCATAACTTAATTTACATATTAATTATATTCTGGAACGCTTTGAGTATCATATAAATTATTAATTACTTAGGATTAAACATGGTGATCGTGGAAGGAAGCTGGCGTTGGCTATCCATTAAATGATAGTTAATGATGGAGTGCCCACTCTCGTCCCATCTTTCAAATTGCTTCATTTTCTATCCTACTCATCTCCATAGCCCCCAAAAAATAAACAAATAAATTAATTGAACCTAACTTTCAAATACTTAAATATTCTAATTTGATATATTAATATAATTTAATTAATTATTTTAAAATAATTTTAATTTGGTGTGTTGTTATGATCAAATTATATTACATAAAAAATGTTTTATAAATAATAGTATCTCCACTAATAACCATCCCCATTTGGTTTTTTTTTTGTCACAAAGTACCATAATTTTTTTTAATAATTATGCTATGAATTGCATTATTTTTTGGTTATCATTTATTCATATTTCATACTAGACTTGTACGAAATTATTACTAATAAACGATATTTTGTTCAATTGCTCAAAAAGCCAAAGTGGAGCCAAGTTGGTGATGCATTAATAAGGGTCACGACCATTTGTCAACTGCCCTTTCCTTCAAGTGCAAACCTAATCTCATGAATTAAATACATCAAACTTTAATTGATTTATTTTCTTCTTTATTTTATTAAGGGTTTTCTTTTCATAGAAAAATAAATAAACCCAAAAGAAAAAAATGAAATAACTCTAAGTGTGAACCCAAGCAAGAAATGGTCAACATCCTCTGAAGAAAAACTATCCGTGACAACTACGAGAGTGTCCACCGACACCTGACGGTAAGTAAACGGACAGGTGTCGGTCTGGGAACTAGAATGGGGTACGTGTCATGACATGAGTGGTTGCAGACCACTGATTGAATGAGTCTTACGTCAGAGAGCGCAGAGCTGAGTACAACCGAGAGGTAGGTAAAAATTTTAAAAAGAAAACAAGTGAGGTTAAAATAAAGGATTAATGATGATTAACAGCAGTGTTTAGGAGAGTTAATTAAGGAGTTGGAGTACTATATAAAGTGAAGGAAGCTAGGGACGGAAAAAACCAAGTGAGGCTGAGGGTCTTCCACACCAAAAAACTTGAGAGGAAAACACAAAAAGCTGAAAGAAAAGAATTCTTTGTGAGATCTAAACACTTTTGAGTGATTCTGGTTTTTGTTTTTTAAAATTCTTTCCCCCGATTTTTCTATTACACCCCGCTTCTCTGAATCCCTTTCTGTTAATCATCTGTCTTTGGGAAAAAAATCTGATTTTTGGGTTTGTTTTTGAGTACTTAACAATTCATAGAAAGCAAACTTAGACAAGGATTTATTCAAAAGCCAGGTGTTTTCAGAAACGAGATCCAGGATTTTTATTTTGTTATTATAAAGTTGCTATCTTTTTTCTCCTTCACCAATCTATATTGTAGATTTTTTTCCCATTTCGTTTTTTCTGTAGATAAAATCAGCTTAGAGGGTGATTTTTGTTCCCTCAAGTTCGATTTTCTTAGGCTTATCTTGGATTTCAAGGGGTTGTCTATTTGGAAAGAAGCCTCCTTAATCCTTCTTCTGGTTCTGAAACCTGTTCTGAAGTTTTGGTAAGAAACAGGTTGCTTTTTTTTTTTTGATCTTTTCTTTGTTAAGTTTCAATCTATTGTTTGTTTTTTGTTTTCAAGAGATGGCAGCTACAATGGATTTCTATAGTAGCGGAGCAGTTCAGTCAGATCTGTATGGGGGAGAGTTGATGGAAGCACTTGAACCTTTTATGAAAAGTGTTGCCTCCTCTTCCTCTTCTTGCCCGTCCCCTTCTCCGTCTTCTTCTTACTCTTCTTTTTCTTCACCTTCTCCTTCTCCTTCTCCATCTCTTCCTTCTACTTCTTACCTCTCTTTCTCTTCTTACCACACACAACCCAATTTTTACCCAGGTGGTTGTTGTTACTCCACAACAATTGACCCATTTTCAGGTCTCCAGCAGCAGCAGCAACCTCAACCTGGTTCAACAATTGGGCTAAACAACTTAACCCAAGCTCAGATCCACCAGATCCAGGTTCAATTCCACCTCCAAAACAGCCAACCAAGCCACCTTTACCAAAATCCCCAACCCCAAAACAACAACCATATGCTCAGTTTTCTTAGCCCCAAACCCATCCCAATGAAACAAATGGGTTCACCACCAAAACCCATCAAGCTTTACAGAGGAGTTAGGCAACGTCACTGGGGAAAATGGGTCGCTGAGATCCGGCTACCTAAAAACCGGACACGTCTTTGGCTAGGCACTTTTGACACAGCCGAGGAAGCAGCCTTGGCTTACGACAAAGCAGCCTATAAACTAAGAGGTGACTTTGCGAGACTCAACTTCCCTAACCTTCGCCACCAAGGTTCCCACATCGGAGGCGATTTCGGTGAATACAAGCCTTTACATTCCTCTGTCGATGCTAAGCTACAAGCCATTTGTGAGAGCTTGGAACAAAATCAAAAGCCAGGAAACAAGAAAAAATCGTCAAAGGAGACAGCTGCAAATAAGAGCAAGAACAACAAAGTCCACGTGGCAGAGCCTGAGCATGAGGAAAAGACAGTCAAGGTGGAGAACTCCTCCTCATCTTTGTCTCCGGTTCTATCGGAGAGTGAGGGGTCAGCAGAGTCTTCCCCCTTGTCGGATCTTACGTTCTCGGATTTCAAGGAACAACCATGGCCTGAAGTTGATTCTCCTTCGGAGAATTTTATGTTGGCGAAATACCCTTCTTATGAGATTGATTGGGATTCTATCCTAAAAGCGTAAAAGAAAAAAAAACGTGTTTCATTCCCTGTAACAGTCCTTTTGTGTTAGGGGTTCTTATTTTTGTGTATCCTTTTCTCCATTTGTAAGCTCACTGCAATGAAGTTTTTGGCAGTTGCAGTGGTCAGTTATTTAGGTTATTATGAGTCTGTTTATGGGTAGGGTTTTAAGTATTTAATTGTGTAAGCCTTATGTTTGTAAGACTCTGAGATCTTCTCCATGGTGGTCAGCTCGTTTTTAATCTTGCTGGACCAACGGAGAAATTTGTTAGTGTCCATTAAAGTTCATAGCTTTTGTAATTGGAATCTATTAATGTCATGGGTCTTTATCTATTTTTTGTGCCAATTTCGCATACTATGGCTTTGCTTATGTCTCTGGTTTTAGCACTAATAATTCATGTTACTACTACTTCTGGTTTGTTACTCCATTAAAATTTAGTTACTTGGTTTGTTTTGATCGTTCCTCTGATGCTGTTGCTTGCAGCCTTGTGTTCTTTGTAGCACTCTTCAGCATCTATGGGTAATAAAATCATTCGAAATTCTGCGGAAGATTGTTCTACCTGTGTGTCTATCTATTGCTTGAAACGTTATTGAAATCAAGTAGGCTTAAGTCTCCTTAAGGTCAAGTTATTAAGTGGCTGAAGATGGAAGTTCTGTTAAATGCAGTGTCAAGCACCAAATAACATTCACAGGATCTGGTTCTGTCGGCAGCCAATGATCTTCATCTACAACATAGATTTTTTATATTTTTCAAAACATCTTTTGCTGCTTCCACGAAACTGCTATGTTTGCAGTGGGGGGCAAGTTACTGAACAGTGAATTTTGTGAATTTCTGGATATTTTAATGCCTTGAAAAGAGTTTCAATCCCGAAATTGGCTGAGAGGGTCACGAGCTTGGCTCAAGGGGGGTTCTTTCTTGGTGTCTTCTCACCAATTGCTATTCTACAAAATGCAGACAAAGACGTTAGTATTACTTTATTATGGATGTCTTCTACTATACTATATTTTGACGCAAATCATGGTGAATATGACGAGGGGAACTTGTCCCTTTGGGTGAAATCTATTCCAAAACTTGTTCAATGAATCTGTATGGGGTCACAAATTCTTAAGATTTTGTCTTACACAAACAAAGGCTTTTCTTTGAAGTAAAGCGTTTCCCAACAGCACCTTTCTTTTGATTGCATCCCATAATAGTGATGGAGGCACGCGTGATCCTTCGGCTCACACATCTCACCACACCGCTGACCTACTTTTTAATTCTCTATTTTTCTTTTCTTTTTGAATGTTCAAATTATTACTACTGTGCGAAGCACAAGCACCCAAGCTCCCCAACATAATCATGCTACAGTTAATCAACTCTCTCTGCACGCAAAGGCAAAGCTTTTAGGTTGCATTTTGTTCCCTCTCTTCTATGAGAAAATGAAGACACCGGCAGCACTTTTCATCTTCAATATTCTTATCTCTCTTTAGTCTTTGTGTCAAACTGTGACAAATCCTTTCCCCTGTGAATCAACTTTTGCATAAAATTTGTTTAATTATAATTCTGTTTTCCCCCCATGCCTTTGAAAAGCAAATCCTTGAGGAACAAAACGGTGCGTGAATAAGAGAAAGGTTAGATATTAGGACAGAGTATCTACACTTTTGAGGATTTTGTTCCTCGTGGAAACCCTAAACCCTAAACTAAAATCCCAATACAATACCAAAAAGAAAAATGATGCAAGTAAAATTAAAATTTAAAAAGAAATGAAAAGGGAACAACCTGAATCTAATCCCCTACTGTATAATGGGTTGTGTTCTGGCCCATGTAGCTTTTGTTCCTTAGAACCTTCTACGCCATTCATGAGCTCAGCTCTGGCCTTACCCAGTACACCTGGGGGAACAAGGCCCACCCCAAGTACTGGAACGTAGGGTATATCAGTAGGTTTGCAAATCCTGTGACTATTACATAATGCATTACATGGATCCCTCGCAGCGAGGAGTTTAAACTCGTAATTTGTTCACTGGAAGAAACAAGCAGTAGTTATTGCTTGGATGTGATCGACACTACGACGGCGATCGTATCTCTTGGAGAAAAATAGATGGCTGAATTATAAAGATTACTTTCTTTCCCGCATGGGGTTGTGTCCGTACGATTTGTGCTGGCAACATTGTATATTGGATTAACTGGGATTGGCCTGCCAATCTTGTGGTGAGGATTGCTCAATTTGAGCAATGGGAAGTTGAGCATGTCGAAAGACTTGCATGGGAGTGAAAGGAGAATAAAAATCTTCTATCTTTTTTATAATTTTACATCACATTTTAAGTAAATTTATAATATTTAAATTATTTAGTTTTCTCCTTAAGTTGCTAATGTCACTCGTAGTTATCATTAGGTTTTATACAATACTTCATGACTTTTCTTTTTTCTTAGAAGTCCTATTGCAGTCTCTTTTTACAGCACTGTTCTCATCAAGGAATATTTCTTGTAAGTTTTCTTCTTTTTCTTTTTTTTTTCTTTTCTTTGGAACATAGCACCCAGCTTTGGCCCCATGGATTCTTGATCAACCAGTACTAGAAATGTTAGAAGATCGATTTGAAGAAGATAGAAAGCTATGACCTAGATACATTCGTGCCAAGCAATGATCCAATTACAGTAGAAAATTGGTAAAAGGTGTTTGCTGCTTTTGGATGACGTCATGGACTCAATTGAGTTGAAAGATATTGGAAATCCTGACAGCAAGAGCGGAAGTAAATTGGTATTGACAATTGAATTTCTTCATACTTGTTCTTCCAAGGCAGACATATTTTGAGGTCCGCCCATTATCGCTAAATGAGGCTTGGAAGATGTTTCAGCATATGATATTCCCACAAGATGAAGATGTGATTTTTCATTGGAAATGGAAAAAAAAAAAAATTCAACTTTCTCGTTGTTTTGTGAAAGTTACAGTTATTTATTTTTCAAGTTTGAATTATTTTTTTCCTTTTGTTTGGTAAAGCTTGCTTCAACCATGTCGTGTTAGTCATTGCTTCAACCAAAAATGGGTTAAGCCCAGGATAAAACTGTATGAATACAGCTGGCTACCCACAACGTTTCCGACTTCTGATTATCCAACCCCCACGCTTCTCATTTCAAACATGTATTCATATATCCAAAGCCTGTTTTAGGACTCTTTGATTTCAAGGCTACAAAAACTATATAAATCAGTCTAAATCAACCATGGAATGCGTCAAAACAAAATTTCAGTCATGATTACAAGGAAGCTAACAACTGAACAGGTACTGCATCGCAATCATCTTCTCATTTACTCGGTTTGATTTTTCCCAAGCACCAGTTACTGGCAGACAAAACAGCAACAACTCATGCTACCTGGATCTATCATCAACTAAATTTACCGATTTCCATTTTCTTCCTGATTGCTCTTTGACCATGGTATATGAAAGAGTCTAATATTCCCGAAACTGTGAAAACACCTGAACAGATAAAATTGGAAGAAACAGTTAGCAACCTAAAACCAGTCATACTCAAGGGCATATCTGTAAGTCCATAAATTCGTTTACAAAGCCATATTGTTAAGATTAAAGCTCTCTTGAATTGAATCCAGTGGAGAAAATTGCTTTGATTTAATGGAGATCATGAAAAACTTGGAAAGACATCATCTGTTTTCACCCCCCAAAATGGAAAATCTTCAGACTTAGTCTGTTTGCTCAGTTATGAGAGATGCTTATGGGACTTAAAAATTTTCTACATGCATGTGCCCACATGCAGATATACGAACTTCAATTTTCATTTTTTCTGAAGTTCAGGGGATGAGGATCTGAACTTGTGATGTAAATTTTAGATTTTATAAGTCATGTCTGCGAGATATTGGGCTCTTGCCTCATATGATATACACGAGTTCATAAGCAAAAAAAAAAAAAAAATCTTATTAATTTGTCAAAGCAAAAGGAAAACAAAAACAAAATTAATTGATCTAAAATCAACATATGGAGTATGTTTATTTGACTTCTATTCTTACTTTAAACACAGAAAGAATTATTAGACTATGTGGAGGGGAGAGGATCATTACCTCCAACTATAGCACACACATTTGTTAGAAAGTGCAAGAATGAGACATGCTGCTCTGTGAAAGTCACCTGCAGAGTGAAGTTGAAAAATAAGCTCAGAGAGTTAGCAGGGATCAATAGAAAAATTTGAAAAACAGCCCAGACTTCAGCTAACAGTTTATTATCCTCTTTCAGAGGGTTTTGGTCTAAGGTTCAAATCCCTTCACCCCCTTAGACTTCCTTATACATATAAAAACAAATAAACAAATTAAAAAAAAAACTTGAAAGTTATGCAGCATCTCTAAGACGTCAACATTTATATACGGGACATAGATCTTGCATGTTTAAAAAGTAAAGGAAAACCCAACCTTGATAGGTGAAAGGTCATAAAAGAAGAAAACTCCTGGGAGGGACTGAAGACGATTTATATCTGCACCCTTAAAATGCTCTGTTACAGAAAACTGCCGAAAGCAATCTCTCATGCATTAATCATTTTGAATAAATGAAGAAGAGGTCAAATAAAATCTTTTGCAAGTTCTAGCCATACCTGATTTGACTGGATAGTGTGTCCACTCACATCTGTATACACAGTAGGTACAACCTACAAGATAAAAAGATATATAGAAAATCCCTCAAACTAAAAGATGCTTTTCTCATTTAAAGTTCATTTAAAAGATACCAGTATCAGAGGCAAAAAGAAAAAAATCAATGCCCCTATAGAAATGGCTTTGTGCCATTATTTTAATAAGGGTTATAACATTAGTAAGAATTCCTGCTACTTAGTCTTCTTGAATGTATCATTCTCTCCTGCTTTCAAAGAGAGAAGGGAAGACACTACATTTTACATTTATATTTTTTAAAGAGTTGATTACACATTTGGTTCCCAAACTATAGACAAATTTTTTATTTGGTATTTAAAGTTCAAAAATTCGAAATTAGATACTCAAACTTTACTTCTGTCCATCAGTTTGCACATGAACTAAGACCATTGGGCAAATGGATGACAAGTCCAAAAACAGCCAATAAAAACATGCCACATCAGCGTGCCACCTGTCACAATTTATTGGATGTTTTGGACACATCTTCCATCTGACTAATGATGTTAGTCTCATGTGCAGTGATGGAAAAAGTAAAGTTCCAGCAACTGGTTGTGAATTTGATTATAGTTTGGATGCCAAATGAGTAATTAACCCTTTTTAAAATTTCTCAATCAGAGGAAACCACTTTCTCAATAGGGCCTCATTTTTATCTTCATTGATCTGTTTGCTAGCAACATTAGCATTTGAACATTCATTTGTTTCTAAATTTACAACACAAATTATGTTAAAAAAAAAGGGTAATCAGGCAGACTTTAACCTGTCATGCCATTTATGTTGCCATTTTGACAGTTCAGTGAGGGACAGTTAAACTGATTTTATCAATGTTGTTAAAGTTTTTCCTGATATTAATCAGAACTTTGATATGATCTCATGACATTTACATACATAGCATTAGGAGTGGACATGTTACATGCTGCATACACTGATAAGGAAATGGAATAAAAAAGGGCACAGACAAGCAAATATTCTAGATCCTGGAGTAATGTCCTGGCTTCAATTACTACATACATGTGATCACGATTGGAGAATATGATAATAAGGAACTAAAGATGCATTCATGCATAAAACAAACCTTGATAAAGTACTGATACATCCCACTTGGTTGTTCTTGTGTCCAGTGAACACTGAAATTTAGGGAAAAAAAAAAAGGGAAAACAAGATAAAATATAAGAAACATATGCCAACATCCAGCTGTTGTACATGGCCAAGGTAAAAGACTAAGCAGAAGTAGTAAGTACCCATCCAGAGGATTCACAACACCAGGGAAGTAATCTCCAAAGGCTAATCTATTGATCTTGTGACTTATCTATATCAAACATTCATGAAGCATGATGATTTAATTAGATGATCGTTTTCAGATAACATATACTTACCCACACAAAGAACAGAAACACAAGGGTTATGTCTTACATTAAAACTGTCCTTTTGAAATGCCAGCAAGTCATGTACATGAACATTTGATTGCTGAAAGCTTTTCCCAGGTGCAAAATGAAAATTCCCTGCCACCTTATTAACTTCTAAAAAGCCATATATATTACACCCTTCACCTTCTTCATCCTTAATCTTCTGAAGGAAACCCTCTCTCTTACACTGAACAACAGAAAACAGCACAAACAAGAAGCATAAATCAAGGTATAAAACAGGGTTCATGTAGGTCAGCTGTAAAGATCAGTATTATAGAGGGCAAAGATGAAATCTTAGGATAGGCTGGCCAGAAAGCAGTAAAATAGAAATACACTTAGACAAGGCATACAAAGTTACAGAAATATTAGCTCAGGCCATATTGTGCATAATTTGTATGTATCAACAACCAAAAGTTTCAATTACTATACAACAAAGAATTGTCTATCAATGCTGGTACTCGTTGTTCTGATATAAGATAACGAATAATGATTTATCTTAAGATTATTGAAAAAAATTAAGCTTATTAATGCACCTAGAAGTCGGCATGGGACAGTACCATGTTGATTACCTAATTATTAGACAAATGACTATTAGAAATCTTTCTAAAGGGTCAGTTCCTTGCCATCTTAACTGTCCAAACAGAAGCTCTGGGCAAGTGGGAATCCAGAATTGTATCAATAGGCATTATTAGGTCTCAACTCTTCTATGTAGCTTACCAGAAAGAAAATGATGACCAAGTGAGTACAAGCAAATTATCAATAAAACAACAATGAAGGCAAAAACAACATTTTCTACCCCACTATGTCTGTCTGTGAGTGTCTCATTCAAATTAAAGTTACTTTCAATATCAGATACCATATAAGTTCTTATGCTGACAGACCTGGTCAATTAAATCTGGATTTGACAAAGCCCAACCTTTCTTTCTGTATGCTTCACGAACATCCTCACAGGAGTTGCAACAATCATCATCAGACTGCAAGATGGAATGAGAAAAGGATGTTTAGGGAGGGAAAAAATACATCATACCAGGAACGAAATAATACTTCTTATATAGGAGGACTGTTTTCAATGATTATTCACTACCTAAGTACTGACCACATCTACAGCCTCTTCAAGTACAGAACAGAATACAACACAACCAAAACAACAGAGATTGAGGAAATAGCCAAAAGATAAAAACAACAATGACCAATAAATGCTACTAAATCAAATGTTTATATCATATTTAGGCAAATTGACAAAGGGGGACTTTTATTATGATTAAGAGGATATGGTAGTGGGACCTATAAGAACAAAGTCATAGGTCCTTCATATTCTGGACAAACATGCACCCAGTGGATCAATTTTATCACAATGAAATAGCAGATGGAAACCAGATAGATGAAGCATACCGCTTCCGCACCATAACATGAACCGCAATATGTCTCATTGTGCTCGAGCCTGCCACCATGCCTCTGTAAAGGCTTCTCAATCTGTGTGAAGCAAAATAGTAATGAGCAGAAAGGTAAGCAAAGCTGAATGTGTTGTTACTCAGATACTTTTAAGTTAAAAAAACGTAAATAAGAAATCAACTTCAAACATTACTATCATATAGCTAACTAACCTTGGGAGCACCAATTCCCTCTTGCCTCGATTCTATAACATTGCCATGTGCATCTAACCTTTTCTTAATTATGTCATGTCTCTGCAAGTTTACAAAAAAAAGTGACATTATAACTTCAACAGCAAAAGCCATACCATTTAAGCAGCATATGTAGAAAAGATAAGTTTTGTGTGCACACACATGTCATGGGCCCACACTTCTAACCCAAAAGACATGCTTATTAAGTGGACGAAAGCCCTTACTTATAAGCCTAAGATCCATCCCATCTTGTACTAATGTGACATCCATGACATTCTCCCTCGCCCAATTGTGCAATGTCTTTATTGCATTGGCTTTCACCTATAAACAAGAGAGACCCGTGTTGATCTAGGCCTACCTTAACCTTAGTATCTCTCATGGAAGGTCTTACATCAATGAAGAGTTGACTAAGCTCTAATACCACTTGTCACGCGCCCACAATTCCAACCAAAAGACATGCCAATCAGGTGGAGGAAAGCCCTTATAAACCCAAAACTCACCTCATCTCTTACTGATGTGGAATCCGTAACACATACACATGGCCATAACCTTCTATCTATATTATGTATGCAAGCTCATTTATGTGCCCATGGTGCGTGCGTGTGTGTGTGTGTGAGAGAGTGAGAGAGAGAAAGAGAGTTGATGAGAACATTTTCTTTATGACACTTAATGTACGGGAAAAAGCCATCAACATGGAATAAAGGAGCATGACCCCTTGCAATACATACCACATCAAGATGTTGCTCTCCACTGATGTCCATTGCATCAAGGCTGAGGATTGAGCATGCAAGAGCAGGAAATGTGACATCAAACTGCACTTTCAAATCCAAAAGCAACATAAAGAATTTAGAGGGGCTAATTCCAAAGTCCAAAGGACTGTATCAGTACAATAAATAAAACTGAAAAGAAACAAAATAAAAATGTGTAATAAAATAATTACACTGATGTTAATAACACTATTCTTGATTCAAATCAATTTGCACATAAAACATGAAAAACGGTCAGCGAAGAATCTTTGGGAAATTTTATTTGAAATTTAAGGCCATAGGGAAAAAGCTGAAAAGGAAATCTTGAGGTAAAAGTTGGATTAGCAGATGACATTACATTGATGCGTAGAGTTTCCCCCCTTGAAGTATCTACCACAAGCTTTGTTTCAGTCACAGCATGCAGATATAATCCTGTGACGAATACCAGAAAAAGAAAGAGTTTGATGGAAAAATATCACCTCACTAATATCACCAATACCAAGAACAAGAACAAAGAGAAAAGCTATATTTAAGTCTATTCAGAAAGCACACTCCCCCCCC